TACCCCAACGTGGCACCACCGCCTTTCTGCTTGGAAAGCCTCCACCCTTTCTCCTCCCACCTCTTCCTCTTCCTCAGCCTCCAGTACTAAGCTAGGGCCACCTCCTCCAGCAGGCCGGGCCCCCTCAGCCCCCGCGCACCCTTCCCCACCCTGCAGTGCAGCCATCTCTTCCTGGCCTGTCTCCTCGCCCTGCCCTGCCCTCGCCGCGAGGACCCCAGCCTGACCCAGCAAGACCCACAACCCAGGGCACGCATGGGAATGAACGAATGACTGGGCCATGCAGGCAGTGGCCCAGCTCAGGGAAGCGGACAACCCCCTTGCTTCTCCATGCAGCCACGCCCTCCCGCCCAGCTCCACAGAGACCTCCCCCACCTTCTTTCTGGGGCTTGTTCTTCTTCACCCAGTCAGACGCCTGCCTCAGGGAGTCGAAGAAGAAGTCTCCCTCCTTCTGGCTGAGCACCTGGAGGGGGGAGGCAGGCAGGCTAGCGACTTGCAGGAGACGGTCCCCCTGAGTCCCCTGCAGGACTTGGGGCCACGCAGGGGCAGCCTTCCTCGGGACCAGTGCTGGTGTCACACGCAGCTCAGAGTCGCATGTGGGCTACCAGGGTGGGGGACCAGGGCTGATTCCCAGACCTCACCCCTCATCATGAAACCTCTAGCCATGCAGGGAGCGGTCTGGCCAGGCACAGGGGCGCTGGGCAGGCTGAGGGCCCTCACCCAAGGGCCCTGCTGTTGTCCGCTGAGCCCTGGTGCGACAGCTGGCATACCTTGTCTGCAATCTTGATGAAGAGGCCGCATCCCTCCCAGGAGGCCAGCTGCAGCCTGGTGGCGACGCTGTCACACACATCCCGCACCTTCGTGCCGCTGCCCACCTCCAGCATCTGGGAAGACAGATGGCCAGTGAGCCTGGCCTGGGCCCCAAAGCCACCAGAGCTGCTGTCTTGGGATGGCCCTTGGTGCCTGGTCCTTTTGCCCCTCCATGAAGCTTGGGCTGGACTGAGAGGGGCAGGCCTCCCTTCCAGAACGCTGGCGAGATGTTCAACCCTCACTCCTAGTGTCTGCTGCCCTGGGGCCCAGGAGGCCTGGCCTTTGACTTGCACTGGGAGTATTGCAGCCAGACTGTGGGGACTCCCTGCTTTAGGGACTTGACTGGCCCCAAGGCCAAACAGGCCAACCTGCCACAATGGAGAGGGTGAGGCTGACTTGTCCACCTTGGTCCACTCACCTTTGCTGTTCTGGCCAAGGCTCCTGCGTCACATCTGGGTCTTCTTTGTCTCCCACCTCCCGCCTGTCCCCTCTGACCTCCCTCATAGCCACGATGGGCTCTGTGCACAAGGCCCACCCAGGGGTGCCACCTGTGCCCCATGCCCGGGACTGTCAGCAGCCCCTCGGAGCCCCGAGCCTTCGGGACTCAACCTGGCTGCCCACCATGCTGGCCTCCCTCCCGTGTCCTGGGCCTGGAATCCCCAGGTCCTACCTTGGGACTGTCCCTGCTTCCAAAGCCCCTGAGGGCTGGGCGTGGCCTGGGTCCCAGGGGAGGGGCAGTGGAGAGTGGTGAAGGGGAGACGGCCCACGAGAAACCCCGAAAGCGCTCTCCTGGCGTGACCCAGGAGCACACCGGTCTAGTGGGGAGGTGCCCCGCAGCCTCTCGAGGCCTGAGAGTCGCCGCGGGGCCGGGTGGGGGACTCACCTCGCTGCTGTCG